CTGGGGATTTCACAGCAGCATTCTGGAGGGATGGGGAATAGGAGCTCCTGAGAGCAGGGAAAAAGGGTCCCCAAAATTGTGCCTAAAGATAGCCTCTTAGGAAAGAAGCTTCAGAATTGGAAAATAATCCCCAAACTAGGGACAAGAACAGGAAAAAGATGTTTAAATATTGTGTACAGACATAGCTTAGAGAGCCACTACATAGAAAAACGTTTTGACCAAAATGTGAGTCTGACAGCAATTGGTTTGTCAGACTTTGAATTTGTATGTAAACAGTAAGGCTCCTTTCTGTGAAACAGAGTTGGCTTATGTTGTTTAATGGGAGCAAAAAAAGGTAAAATAGTTCCTCACAAGAAAGAGTCAAAGTTCAAAAGAGAAAGGAGAGAAGCAGAAAGGTCATAAATGGGATCCCTTAAAAACTCCCCCCTCCTTGAGGTTCTAAAGTAATACAAGCGGCAGTGGTCTCTGCAGAGGCAGGGAGTAGCTGTGCTGCTGATCCTCCCAGGGTCCTAGAGAGAGTTTGCACATTCTTAAATACTGAGGGAACTGGAATGATGCAGATGGGACCTGGAGAATTTTCCTTTCTCTAACACTAACCTTACTAATATTTCAATATATCCTCTTAGGGAAGTCCCCTTAGGTCTAGGAGTGTCTAGAAAGATACAAAACAAAAACAAAAACAAAACAACAATAAAAAAAGACCCCTGTGTTGTATTCTAGCTCACAGGAGAGACTTTGCAGATGAGATAGGGGGAATATCAAATAAGAAACCGGGAACATATATGAAGTAGTGGGACCAGTTTTTATAATTGAGGATTCTAATCATGCAACCAAGTGCTGGTGTTTGTGGAAAGTAAAGAATTGTATTGTTTGATTTGTAGGTTCTGAAGGAAGTAGGACAGGCTGTTTCAATGGTATGTGGAGGTGTAGTTGTTGATGGTACGTGGAAGCGTAATTGAGGGTATGAACAGTGGAAATGTGGAAAACAAAGCAGAAAAAGGGTAAAGGAAAAACTGAGTTAGAGATCTTAAAGTCGGTGATCTGCTCTAGCCAAAGTAGATTGGCACCAGCACGAGAATGCATCCCCTGCACTGCCCCCCCCGCACAGCCTGTAAGCAGAACTCCGGGAGGAAGAGCTGGGGGCCAGAGGCTAACGCATCCCCTGCACTACCCCTGCCAAAAGCAAAGTGTTACTTGTGAACAGGGAAAGGACAGAACACTGGAAGTGAGAATAAGCCTTTATTTGCAGAGATCTAGGAAACCCAAGATCTCACTGTCAGCCCTGGAAACCTTGGAGGGGGGAGGCGGAACTATGTGAAGTAGGTTTTTTTCTTTGTTTGTTTTTGTTTTTTTGTGAAGTTTGGGAGATGAAAAGGTTTGGGAAAGACACAGGTTATGGAGGGCAAGTAAGATCAAGGTTTATCTGTGGCAATTAAACACAGACTCTGTTGTTACTGCAGAACAAAAACTTTTATTGTGTGCCATGCACTTGAACAATATGCACTTGGTCAAGTGCTTTGTTAAACATGACCCTCATGCTGCAAGTGGCAGTGCTGGGTCTTCCATGCTGCCCTGAAGGAGAGGGTGCTGGAGCTGGGCTCGTCCCTCCTGTGCCATGCCGCACACCCAGTCTGTGTTGCTGAGTGCTGGACCGAGGCACGGCTCTGTCAGCCTTATCTCAAGTCTGTTATACCTCAGCGGCATCTCCCAGCAGTAGTGACGAGGTCGTGCAGGCTGTCAAATACTTGGGTGTCAGTCACACAGAGCTTGTGGCTGTTTGCGTGCTGCCGCCAGTGTATGCGACACTGCTGCAACTTCTCACGGTGCCAGAAGGACAGAACACAGTCCCTAACAAATGTCTCACTCTCCCTGACAAGAAAGGAGCCATCAGGGCCTCCATCCCTGCACAGCACTCTGCCAGCAGCCACTCAGAAATGTGCTGCCCTCCGTGCCCTGCCCCCAGCTGCTATGGAACCATTTCTGCGCAATGCTGCTCCACGTTGGTGCTCAGCTCCTCTGTGCAGGCCACCTCCCTCGTCTTCTCCTGGTTGGGGGAGCATAAAGCGGGTTCCATGCATCAGTGATGGACTCCTCCATCATTTGGCAATCTGCCGCCTCCTCCTTTGTTGCACACAAACCCATGGTTCCTTGCCACTCACCTCTGTCAAGCCACCTCAGTTTTGGCGAGGTTTGCCAATGGTCTTTATAGCATCTGCTCACATCCATGCCAGGTGTACAAACCAGACGTCTCATGATCGTGTCAAGAGGATCTGTCTGGCATGAATAGTTAGAATCTTTTGATTTTTCCCTCCATATCTGCTGAACTTGCCGGTGAGTATGAGATGCAGCAGAGCACCTCTCCTCTTCAGTTCTTCTATGGCTTGGTCAAGAAGCTGCCAGCTGTGCTCTCCGGGGATCTCCGGGATGGTGCATGCCCTGCTGTGCTGTCCCCGCAGCACATACTGGATTAGAAAAGGCCCCCAAAGGCAACAAGGGCCTGACAACATGAGGCTCCCATCTGTCTGCAGAGGACACTTTCCACTTGCTCTTCCTGATCAGGAAGCCATGCGCTCTGACCTGCCTCCTCTGCCATTCACAAGAAGAGCTCAGTGCACTCTCACATTTCCGTGTCTCCTCACCCATCCATCATCAAGACTCTGAATGCCCCTTGTGCTACAGTCCAGTTCTGGAAGCCATTTAACCCTGTCCCAGTGGTCCAAACAAAAGCTGAAGCCTGCAACATTTCTAGCCCAGCATGTGTTGATGTTCTCATTAGTGTAAAAACACATAAAGAAACAACTTTATGGGGAAGCATCATTAGATTTAGTGTGGTTGTGTAGTACATCTATTGTACTTGTGTTCAGAAGGTGGCACACAGGCATTAGACCCATTGTGGGGCGTGGAGTTGTCCAAGCAGCATGCACACTCCTAGGGCATGGCTTTCCTGAAGGCCTATGCTCTATTTGCAGCTGTGTGTGAATGTACTGAACACCCGAGAAAATTGTCATGATGTCAGGCTGCTTCTGAAGCCATTCACATGAGAACACATAGAAAACTGATGTTTTGTCAGTTGAAGAATAAAGATGTGTGTTAGCTTTGCAGTGCCTTGATCTCCAGAATGTGCAGCAGAAGGAGAACAGAGAAAGATCTAGCTCTTCTTTTGGGAGCTCAGCCATTTAGCAAAATTCTGCCTGCTCCATGGAGACAGGTGAAAAAGACACCTTGAGATGCCATAAATGCAGGGGTTTGTTCTCAATTAGGATGGTTAAAAATACTGCTAATCCTTCCCTGGCCCTCAGGAAGGAGGTGGCTCTCTCAGGGATTCCCACATACTGCACAAGCACTAGCACACATCCAGCAGCACCCCAGGCACCTTGGTCATCACCCAGGGTCTGTGTGTGAGCAACTGACTCCCCGCTGAAGGACCAAGGACTCAGAGCACGAGCTCACATGAAGGCAACTCTTTGTGCACACCTGAACTGAACCAGAGGAATCCCTGAAACTCCTGTGGGTCCTTGCAGAGCTGAATCCCATTTCAGCTGCAGGGTTTCCACATAGGGATGAGATGCTTCAGGTGCAATCACTGCCTAGCCCAGGGGAGTCCACCCCTCCCTGTCCTCGTCTGTGTGCCCTTTTAGTTACAGCAAGCACTCTGTTAGGACTAACCATATGTCTGGAATTAGTCACTGTCCACTGCACATTTGGAGGGTAATTCTGCAGATTTCAGAGTACATTTATGATGCTGATGTCTTTCAGGAGCTGTTGGCCGTGGAGATCCAGGGATATCTCAGGGGAGATCAGTGGGGGGGGACCGAAATGACATCCTCTGCTGCTTAGTTACTCTGGGCTCCTGGGACAAAGGGAGTTCATACAAGTGGGCAGTGATGCAGAGAGACAGCTGTGCCCAGGAGCAGCTCTTCTGCACAGCACAGCAGGGCTGGGGGCATGATCTGCAGGTGGAAGAGAGCTTACAGCCTGTGCGGCATCTTAGCAGGCTGCCAGATCACTGGAGGAGCATATCTCACAGCCCTTGACCAGGTAAGTCTCTCATTGCAGGCAGTGTAGTGGCTTTTACTGCAAGGATCACTAAGTCAGGGACATCCCATTGAAGGTCAGGCTGAAGGCACTCCATGTTTCTTTATCATGGATTAAGACCTGCTCCAGCTGAGTGCTTCCATGCTGCAGCATCAGAGCTCAGTCCTGAGCGCTGCATGTCCCAGGGTGGCTGCAGGCTGTGCAGCCAGGGCTGCAGCCGGGTGCCCAGGGCTGTCCTGCAGAGCAGGTCCTGCTGTGCCCCAGGGGCTGTGTGCCGGGGCAGGGACTGTGCTGCCTGCCAGGCTCAGCACTCAGCCTGCCCGGGGAGCTGCCCAGGGCGCTGTGGGGAGATGTGTGGGGGGAAGGAGCCTCCCGGCAGGGCAGGGCACGGCAGGGCAGGGGCTTCGTCTGCCACAGCTGCTGCCTGGGGCAGGGGGATCACAGATTCACTGTGTGCCAGAATGTTTCTACAGGCACTGTGCAAGAGGGCAGACATGGCAGGGATTTTCCTTTTCCTATTCTCAGGGAAAGGGAAAGGATTTGAGGAAGAAATCTAAAAAGGGCTGTCAACTTTGAGAAAGTTTGAACCAAATTACAATACTGACATTTTTCTGCAGACATGAATAATGGAATTATCCTGTGAACAGGCAGCTTTGTCTGACAGAAATATAATGGCTCAGTCATTGGGACTGGGTGCCTTAAGAGCAGTTGGGTTAAAGATATGAGACAGGGAAACAAAAAAAAGTATCCAGGGAGATGGGATAAGATTAAAAATGATATAATTGTATAAGCTCCATAATCATCTTTTGCTTATGGAATGTTGAAGCTCATGAAATTAAATTCAAGTAATGAAGCTAAATGAATGCTGTGCTGAGAGAAAGAAAAACAATTGAAGTATAGCAGGAAGAGTGTTTCTGAGAATGATCTTGTCATTATCTTCTGCACTCTGCACAGGACTCCATGCCCAGAGGCAGCAGATGGCCAACAGCAGCTCCATCAGCCAGTTCCTCCTCCTGGCGTTGGCAGACACGCGGCAGCTGCAGCTCCTGCACTTCTGGCTCTTGCTGGGCATCTACCTGGCTGCCCTCCTGGGCAACGGCCTCATCAGCACAGCCGTAGCCTGCCACCACCGCCTGCACACCCCCATGTACTTCTTCCTGCTCAACCTCGCCCTCCTCGACCTGGGCTGCATCTCCACCACTCTCCCCAAAGCCATGGCCAATGCCCTCTGGGACACCAGGCACATCTCCTACACAGGATGTGCTGCTCAGGTCTTCTTTTTACTACTTTTCTTTGGTGCAGAGTATTCCATTCTCACCATCATGTCCTATGACCGCTACGTTGCCATCTGCAAGCCCCTGCACTACGGGACCTTGATGGACAGCAGAGCTTGTGCCACCATGGCAGCAGCTGCCTGGGGCACTGGGCTTCTCTATGCTCTGTTGCACACTGCCAGTACGTTTTCTCAGCCACTGTGTCAAGGTAAAGTTGTGAACCAATTCTTCTGTGAAATCCCCCAGATCCTCAAGCTCTCCTGCTCAGAATCAGACTACCTCAGGGAAACTATATTTCTTGTGCTTAGTGTTCTTGCTGTATTTGGGTGCTTTGCTTTCATTCTTTTAACCTACGTGCAGATCTTCAGGGCCGTGCTGAGGATGCCCTCTGTGCAGGGACGGCACAAAGCCTTCTCCACGTGCCTCCCTCATCTGGCCGTGGTCTCCTTCTTTGTCAGCACTGACTTTCTGGCCTACCTGAAACCGCCCTTCATCTCCTCCCCATCCCTGAACCTGCTGATTTCATTTATGTACTCAGTGGTGCCTCCAACACTGAACCCCCTCATCTATAGCATGAGGAACAAGGAGCTAAAGGATGCACTGAAGGAAATGATGTTATGGACACACTTCAGCAGGGATAAACTTCTCATCTGTCTCTACAAATGACTCAAATTCTGTCCTGTAGCAGACCTGTATTATGATTTTTAATGTTTATAATCTTTATTTATATTAATAGATACATTTTTCTTTGCTTTTCATATATATGTGTGTGTGTGATTATCATTGGTGGTTAGCAAGTGTTTGGCTTCCTAGTACTTCTACTGAGGCACCACCCTGCTCTCTTTCTCCTGGAGCCCATATGACCTCTGGGTCAGTGCTGATTCTCCCACAGCCTCTGTGTTATCCTTTTGTATCTGCAGGCTAATGAGATGTCAGCAGGTACCATGGAGGCAGTGGGGATGCAGCAGATGCCGGACAGGAGGCTGGAGAAAGATTCCTCAGGCATACCTGCGCACACATAGTGCCTTTGGAAATGCTCCATTGTTATTCCAAGCATTTTGCACACCCACAGACTCCCAGGGAGAAGATTTATCAGCACTCATCCCTGTCCACCTGGGTTTACTGCCCACTCTGATCATCACAACCAGCACTGAGACACCCATCAACTGCCAAACAGATCAGAGGAGGGATGGAGTCTGATGGTAGTTGACGTGCTCATGAAATTTCCCTGAAGAATCAAGTACAACCAGGACCCCTATGACCTTGCTGCTGTTGCTCAGTCCCCGTCCCAGGCAAAAGTCCTCTCCCAACCCTCATGCTGGTCATTACCCAAAGTCAACCCTGGTAGAAGAAGAGCATGCTGGGGGATAGATAGAGCACCAGGATCTGGTTGTGATCATTCACAGGACAAGTCCTCTGCTCAGACCTTGCAAGGACAGCAGCCTCTGAGAGCCCACAAGAGGAGGGAGCTGGCAGAGGTGATCCTGAGGCCCTGGACTCCACCCCGTGGCTGTGGGGCCATGAAGCAGGGTGTCTCAGGGCACAGATCCAGAAAAGCTTCCTGTTGTGTGAACAAAAAGGAGACACTGCCCAAGGAAGCTACCACCAGACTCAGCTCTCATGCCAGTGGTTCCCAGCAGCACTTTTCACTGTAATCTGCTGAGGGCTGAGGGCTGAAATGGGACCACTCCACATTTCCCCTGAGCTCAGTGCCTTCACTGGTGAAAGGGCAGCCAGGCCCAGTTCATATCCTGGCCCAGAGCTCAGAAGAGCTCAGAACAGCACTGGCTGAGAGCTGTATGGGACATGCTGGGGACCTCATAATCAGCCTAGAACTCAGTGCCCAGCTGTGCTGTGCTCACCTTGCCTGGCTCCCAGGTGCCCCCTATGCTGCTCTGTCTCTGCCCTCCTCAACAGGATGGGGGAGAAAACACAATTCAACAATTCCCGGGTTGAGGCAAAAATCTCTTCATTCTTTCCTTGCTGTCACGGAGTTAATTAGATCAATCTATGCTTGTGACAGGGGACAATAGGCCCCTGCCCCCCTCCTGCCCCCCACCCCAGCCCCACAAAATGGGAAGGAAAAGGGAAAAGGGAAAAGGGATAGGCAGATGGGAGCTGGGATCAAGGAAGGAAAAAACAAACAAACAAACAAACAAATAAGACAAAGCAAAAACAAAAACAGTGGCAACGAGCTATGCAGGAAAACTTATTTTATTAACTATGATATCAGAATGCAAGATTACACAATATAATACAATCTAACTGAAGTTAAGACTAATAAATCAGACAAGATGAGTGAGAGAGTGTTCCTGAGACTGAGACAAACCTGAAAACCTTGGAATGGCTAGGAAAGCACCTCCAGCATCCACTGCAAGGCAGTAAGAGAGCGCCCCCCCCACCCGGAAGGGCCAGATCCCATGGCTGCTGTAAAGTATAGGGATGGGTACCTGGAATTGGAACATTAACACTTGAATTCCCAGTGCACTACATGATGTTCTGATATGGAATACTGAAAACCAAAAAAACACAAAACCATGACATCCCACCCCTTTCTCTACATTACTACATCATGCTTAAGATATATACATATAAACAAACAAACAGTGATTAAAATGCATTATACACATGTCTATATAAATATATATACATAGAATTACTGACTGCACTCCCCCAGCATCAAGTTTCCTTGTGGTACACATTGAATATCCCCATTTTTCTGCATCACCCTCAAGTGGACCCAGGTCCCTGAGCAAAAACAGTACCATGGAGAGATTTGTCCCTTCCAGAAGCTAGAAAGACCCAAACTGCTTTTCCCAACTTGCTGTATACATGTACAACAGGGACTTTATCACCCTCTTCTGTATGTAGGGAGCTGGGTTGGGTAGGACCATCATGATTGATAGATCCTCTGGTATTGACCAACCAGGTGACTTCTACCAAATGCTTCTCCCAGTGCTTCAATGTTCCGCCACCCATTGCTTTCAGCATAGTTTTGAACAACCCCTTGTATTTTACCAGAGGCTAGTGCATGGTAGAGAATATGATAAATCCACTCAGTGCCATGATCTTTGGCCTAAGTGTTTACAAGAGAATCTTGAAATGAGTTCCATTATCTGACTCAATCCTTTCTGGAAACCCTTTCTGGGGTGCTATTTTGCCACAGGACTTGGTTCACCAGACCCAAGATGGTGTTTCGGGCGGTAGCATGGGGTACTGCATATGTTTCAAGCCACCCAGTGGTTGCCTCCACCATGGTGAGCACATAACGCTTACCACTGCGAGATCGTGGCAAGGTGATAGAATCAACCTGCCGTGCATCCCCATATTTACGCTACGGCCATCGCCCTTCCCCCCAGAGAGGTTTCATCCTCTTGGCTTGTTTACTTGTGGCACATGTGTCACAGTTATGAATAACCTGTGCAGTAGTGTCCATAGTTAAATCCACCCCTTGGTCTCCAGCCCATTTGTATGTTGCATCTCTTCCTTGATGGTGTGAGGTATCCTGGGCCCATCAAGCCTGAAATAATTCACCCTTGTTCTGCCAGTCCAGCTCTATTTGAGCCACCTCAATTCTGGCAGCTCGGTCTACCTGATGGTTATTTTGCTGTTCTTCAGTAGCCCGACTCTTGGGCACATGAGCATCCACATGATGCACCTTTACAGCCATATCCTTTATTTGGGCAGCAATGTCTTTGCACAGTTCAGCAGCCCAAATAGGTTTACCCCTTCTTTGCCAGTTATTTTGCTCCCACTGCTGTAACCACCCCCATAAGGCATTCGCTACCATCCATGAGTCAGTGTAAAGATAGAGCACTGGCCACCTCTCCCGCTCAGCAACATCTAAGGCCAGCTGGACAGCCTTTACCTCTGCACATTGCCTTGATTCTCCTTTCCCTTCAGTGGCCTCTGCAACTTGTCGTGTGGGGCTCCACACAGCAGATTTCCATCTGCAATGCTTTCCCACAATACGACACGATCCATCTGTGAACAGGGCATATTTCTTTTCATTCTCTGGTAGTTCATT